ATTACAGCTAGGGCTTTGTGGGCTTTCTCTGATCCTCCCTGCCCCAGCTCACCATCTAGCACGGTCTCTTTCCAGGCTGTGTAATGGGACAGGGCAGTGATGGTCCCCTTCTTTCTCCTCCCCTTCCCGTCAAACACTTTTCTGCACAATTAAAAAAACAACATCATAAAAGCCACTGTTTCAACTACACCACCACATTAAGGATGGAAATGGTGACCAGCAGCTTGAAGGCTCATTCCCAAAGGCTAGTCCCCAAGCAAAATGGATTGCTGTTGATGGTGAGTGCCTGCCTGCCTCCCAATTAAAAGAAATCGGTAAATCAGAGCTGAGTTCAGGAGGTGCAACACCTGCAAGCTGGACTGTAGCTGCCTAACCAATGCTGTGTGCTGTCCTGAAACTTTCCTTTCTATTTTTAAATTCCTTTCCCACAGCCCTGCCTCTTACCGGCGCCTGCTTGAACTCAAGATGAGCACATTTGCAATGCGGATGGTTGTGGTTATAGACGCAGTGGATGTCTTTTGAAAACAGAGCCCCGTTATAATACATATCTCCTGACAACTTATAGATACTTTTTCGTCATGCAACTGTCATGTCATGAATGGCGGTGGAGCTAAACAGCAGTCTCTGGCCCACAGCCTGTCTGAGGACAGCTTTTTGCTGGAAAATGTAATACAATAATACATACCACTTTATAAATCACTCAGGTTTCCAGTGGGGTTTTCTCTGCTTCAGTGTTCTCCCCACCTCACTCTTGTTACAGTTAACACTCTGAGAGAACATTCAGCAAAGAAACAGACAATTAACTGACCTTTCTGCCAACACATGAAGACTGATGATGCTCCAGGGCTGAGAGGCGGCCATGAATGGTTTGAACTTGATCAGCAGTCTCAGGATGTTGGAGGGTTATGAGGGAAAACAGCTCCTCAAAAGAAGTTACTAGATTTGGCTACCCCATCACACAGCAGCCTCACCATTTGAGGAACTTCTGCGGGACCCAAGATATGGTCCTGTAGACGGCATAGCATCTGGAAACAGCAGATGCAGAAGGGACATTCGCAGAGCCACGCCTTTTAAGCCTAAGCTTAAAGGATGTTCACACGCAAATAGAGGGCTCCGTGCCCCTGAAGGTCTTGTGCTTGGAAGCTAGGACAGGAAAGCCTAGCAGGAACCTATGGGAACAGTCCACCCCGCTCCTAACACCACACCAGGTACCACAAAATCAGCATGAGGGCTTGGCTCTACTTCACTTGCTCCCTTCATGTAAACCCACTGAACCGCGACAATCCAACAAGGCTGAGTTTCCTACAGATCCAGTCAAATGGAAAAATAGATTAGATAAAGCAGATAGGACTTGTCAGAAACTGAGGCATCGCCACAACAGCCTGCCATGGGCTCAGCAATATATCTTTCCTGATTTAAAAGCCAAACCCTGAGACTCCCAGAAACATGGCACCCTGGGACTGGGTGAAGATGAAGAGGGTAAAAAGGAGCACGTGCAAGGGGTGAGGTGTAAGGGATGCATCCAAGAGGAGAATAAACCCTGAAGGTCAGAGTAGCAAGCACATGAGCAGCTAACTAATGTACTACAGCAGCACCACAGGGCACAGACACAGGCACACACGTCCTAGCAAACTGGAAAGCCATAAAAGTCTATTACAGCAAATCAAACAGCAGTCAGCATGACAGCCATTAGCCTGAAATGAATACACGAGAACTTAATGAGCTCTGTCGAGGCCAGCTTGGTGAATTAAGTTGCCAGTTCTAGCAGGATTCCCCTTTTCTTCAGACTTGAAAGCATCCGCACCACCTCGTTGCCTTTTGACAAGCAAATCACAGGGCGCCCTTGCCCAGACGGGATGGACGATTACGCTGGAGCAACATCCCTTTCCCGACACACGGGCCCTCACTCAGCTATTCCAGCCAGGTGCCAGGGAAGCAACTAAGACATGACAAGCACAGAGGACCAGTGGCATCAGCCCGGCAAACAAGCGATCCCCAGTCTGGGTATTCAGAGATGCTGCGATGTGGAGAAGCCCACAGTTAAACCAGGCATCCTTGTCCCCCCTTCCCTACGCTAGAGACGAATCACAGTCCGCAGCCCATGCCCAAATAAATTCCTATTCTCAAATCAAGCAGACTACATGAAACACCAGGACGGGTATTAGGAGGCAGTATTGTTTTTAAAGGTCAGTTTACTTCATGTTCCATTTATTTATGAACACTCTTCTTTTGACTTTCCTAGTGCCACACAATAGCAGTGAGGTTTAAATAGCCTTTCTGTTGCTGGTCCATTAGCTAGGACAACTGCCAATCGATAGACCCATTTATCTCAAAATTAAAAAGAGAAAAACCCTCATTAGCTGCCAATTCTGCACAGAGCCAACCTAGGCAAAGTTGCACTAGCACTCTGCTAGCCTCTTCTCCATCCCCAAGCTCCAGCTCCTCCTTGTTCATTAGCTATAGGCTCTTCATCTTGGGCTGGGTGGTCTTTGAGTCAGATTTTGCTACCCACGCCCTTGCTGTTCACCCTGGCCTGAGTTGTCTGGAGCATGGGGGTGACCTGGAGAGGCTGTTATCCCCTACCATGACTGGGTCCCCAGTCTCAGCTGCATCCAAGGTGTCCCCTGGCTCCGGGGCCCTCAGCTTCTGAAGGCACATCCCCATGCCCCATCACCTCCAGCTTCGAGTACTTGTGGACAAGCAACAGGGACAACCCGTGGCTCAGCAAAGCTCTCAAATCAAGAGGGCATCTCTTCCTGGAGGGCCACACCAGCACACACATAGTAAATCCACTGCTTGCATCTCCCATGGACCGTATCCCATAGAGGATCCTCCTTAGGTGGTGGGACCCCATCCCTTGCTTTCACAGTGCCTGACAAGGAAACTCTGTCTCACCAGCAGAGGAACAGAAGTGCCTCCAGGATGCTAGCTGAGCAAGGAGTTTGTCACTCATTACCTTTGATCAGTGCCCTTGGTAAAAGATCATGGATAGAAACTGGCACATGATGTCTTATACTTCGATTAAGCCACCCTCCAGAAAAGCACAGCTCTGAAGGCCAAGTGGCTGAGTGGGTGCACTAGGGGAAGGTCCATGCTCGCTATACCCTGAACAATTAGATGGTCCTGGAAATCCCTCCAGGCAAAACCACAGCTCATGTGCAAAGCAGCGTGACATGAAAGAGAGAGGTGCTGGGGTTCAGCCTTTTCTTTTATCAACTTTTTGTCCAGATCACCTGTCCACAGTTCCTCAACCAGGCTTAGTCTGCCAAACCAGCACTGGACCTTTGCCCTCCCTGCTCCCCATGCTTGACACAGGTTAAGATCAGAGATGTGGAAGGCTTCAGATCTGCAATATCGGCTCTTAGAGCAGAAGCAACAAGCAAGAGGAGATCTGGCACAGCTGCTCCAGGTAGATAAACACCAGGGCTTAATGCAGCACCTGTTCCCAGGGGAGACACAGAAGTCCACTTTCCAGATCTCTCTCCATGTGGAAAAGGGAGTCCTCTGTACCAGGTGCTGTAAACTGCAAAATCAGAGGTAAATCCAAGTGCAAGGGAGAGGAGACCATTCTCCTTCATTTCTACCAATGACCCTTTTACTTTGCATTCAGACCATCGCCAGGAGGAGTGGCAAGCAAGGCAACATGGCCACCCATCAGCTTCAAAAGGTCCGAGCAGAAAGGCAAAAGCAAGGAGCTGCTCATGCAGCTTTGGCCAAGTCATTTCTGCACTGTTCATGCTTTAAAGAGGAGAAGAAATGACTCTGACCCAGCCTCACTCTCAAAGGGAGGTTTCAGGTGACTCGGCACAAAGATGAGACTAAAACTCCCAGCTCATACATCACACGCAACCTAATGAAGAAACCTCATCCTCACAGCAGAGGAACAGGGAAAGATCAAAGCCCAGCACGGCAGGGCATCAGCAGCCAGCATATTAAATAAACCATTGTAACACAATCATTTGTACGTCTCAGTTACCGAAGACTGCTTGATTTCACACGCACAGATGCACACTCAACTTCCCTTCTCCACATCCCAAGGCAAGCTCTGGGAAAAATGGGCTCTGCCCTGGCACCAGCGTGCAAGAGGGAGAGGTTTCCTCCACAGGAGGACCTGAAATGCCCTACTAATCCACTATTTCAAACAGGATACCCCGACCTCATCCTCCTAGCACCAGCAACCGCCTTTCACTCCACGTCTTTAAAGTCTAAATTCATACCAAACCTGTAAGTTCTTGGCATATTTCTGCCTAGTTGAGCTCTAGGTGCAGAAGCTTTCCCTGATGGTATGACTAGGCATCACCTCCTTTGCAATGGCCAGCATAGAGAGAGCATGGCAGATGGTTGTGGAAACTCTGTCCTTGGAGATATTCAACACTTGGCTGGATAAAGCCCTGAGGAACCTGATCTAACATGAAACTTCCCTCTGCTTTAGAGGGAGGTTGGGCCAGATGATCTCCCATAGTCCCTTCCTACCTACTTTATTCCTAGGTCATCACAGGAGAAGTCCTGCTGCAGAGCTAAGGAAACCACCAGCAAGGGCAGAAGCCATTGGGCGGGACTGCCAGAAATCAGACATTTGGAGAAATATTTAGTTCTGCCTCAGGTCACCTCTGTGACAAGAGCTGCGCATCCCCCCTGCTCTAAGGAAGAGAAAGAGATTTTCATTTTCAGCTATTTTTAAACTTCACATTTGTCATGGGAAAGACATCACCAAGGCTGCAAAGGCTCCAAGTTCCAAACCCCCTCCTTCCACCTGCCTTCCCTCAACACCCAAAACACGTTTTGCCTCACTTTTGCCAATTTTCTGGCAACAAAAACTTCCAGAGATTTAATCCTCCCCCCAAACCCACTGAGGGTGCAGGGCAAGAGGACAGTCCTGTACTTCAGTGGCCCTTGAGTAAATGGGCAGACAACTCTGCAGCAGCAATCAGGTAGCAAGAGTGGCCACAGAGGGAAGAGCCAGAAGCCAGGCTGCACGGAGAGGCTGTGGCGATCCCTACCTCTGGGATGCGGACGCTGTACGGCTGGTTGTGGAACCGCGGGGCGTTGTCATTCACATCTCCAACTTGGATGTTGACTGTCCCTTTGATCACCTACAGTCACAAGGATAACAACAGGGAGTGGGTGTCAGCTTTATGCACGGATTTAAAACCTAAAGCAAACTTGTGGCTGCTTTTTCTGACTTGGGCTTTTGGCAAGCAATGGCCAGGGGTGACCCCACTCCCCAGACCCCTCCTGGCACAAAGCAGAAGGTCCTCTGGTGACCCACACTCATCCTTCCCATTCCCCTCTGCCCATGCCACAGACCGTGAAATGAGAAGTCACACTTACCCCTTGGCTGTCACTGACAGAAAATTCAACCGTGAATTCTGACTTTGTCTGGAAGGGAAGGAGGAGAAAAACATATAATTAAAGATACTGTAGTGTTTATCTGCAGATGGCAGGCTTGGGACTTTTAGCCAATATTATTACATGCAAAATGCTTTCAGGACCTTCAAGAAGAGAAGGGGCGCTTGAGTGCAATTACCTACACTGGGTAAAAAATGCTGAGAAATATTAATGCCACTGGGGCTCCAGTGTATTTCACAGGCACAGAGAGCCGCTCTGCCCTGGGTCAGGAGGACGCAGAGACTGAGGAACCAACTCCCCAGCTAGCAGTTGAGCCCTCTAAACAGACAGTGAGGCTAAAGTGGATGAGAGGAGCCCGTTGTTTAACATTCTGTGGAGTGCCAGCAATACAACACAGTCTCACTGAGGACATCTAAATCTTGCTGCTGCTTTCCCAACTTACCCGCCAAGCAGCAGTTCTTAGGATATCACATAGCTGGGAACACTGGGATAAGCCCAGGGTGCGTAGCAAGAACTAGCTGAAATCCCATAAATCCATTTTAAAAAAAATGACCATGCAGTCTTCTCTGCCCCTCATTGCTTGAAGTAAATTAGCAGCTTGGTCTTAAATGGCAAAATACTGAAGTCACTGGTGCTGGGGTGAGGGACAAATGTGGAAGAGGGGATTATTCTGGTGTCAGGGCAGGAGGATAATTCTAGTGGAGGCAGACGTGCTCTTCCTGACCTTTCCTTTCCACCAGTGATTGTTTCACTCACGTTTTACCAAGCAGCCACGTAGGGATGAACAGCAAGACTTGGACTACCACACCTATCTGATACCCATGCACAGTCTTGTGTTTCAGTTCCCCACTGCCAGCAAGCCCTTCCTCCTCCAGCATTCCTTCCCACCCCCTGTGCCTCTGCCCTGTCTGAGCTGCTAGAGCACAGCAACTTGATGTTTCTAAAGCATCATGCTGGAAGGGCTGAAAAGCAGGCTTGAAACAGCTCTCCATGCTGTGGATTTGGTTGATTTATTCCTAATAAGAACGGCTCAGGGACAGGCAGCAGCAACTGGTGCCCAGACCAAGAGCTCTGCTTACATCAGGGTAGCAGTTCATCTTGGAGCCGTGTTTGGGGAACAGCTCACCAGAGCGTGCACCCCTCCTGCCCCCAAGTCTCCCCCCCATCCAAACAGCTGGGGAATTCATCCTGAAAAAGTCTTTCCTAGCTCCTGCCTTGGGGCAATGCTGACAGGCAGAACGAAGAGCTGAAATGCCAATGGAGAGGAGAGTGTCTGCTTCTTGTGACATCCCACCCTGCTACGTCAGTGTCCTTCACCCCCGTTTCCCCCCTACCCACGGGTACCACCACGAGGGACAAAGCAGTAGGGAAGAAAGGAAAACCAGGAGAGAAAAAACAACCTGTTGAGCATTTACATTTTAAAAACTTGATAAAATAATCAGAGAAAGCTGCCACATGCTAATTTCTGTCTCCACCCTTCATTTTAGCACATACTTTTTTTAGACTCAGGGTTTGTCTCTTTTTAAAAAAACGTGTTTTCCTTCTAGCATTCATGGCAGTGAAAAAAACATTTTAAGAATTGTTTTCCCTCTATACTTTCGCTCCTTCCTCTTTTTCTGTATTTTCCTTTTTCCTGCATTGTTTGTGACTCCCTCTCTCTTTTCAAGTCTCTCTTTTTCTCCTCCATTGTACAAAAATTGATCTCTTGCTTTTATTTCCCCACCACTTTTCTTGCATGTTTTCTCTCCCTTGACTTTCTGATCACATGCATCCAGGCCAGCATTCTCTGCTCCCAGCATGCTGTCCACCTCCACCCCTTCCCTCCCACACCATCCTGCCTCCTCCATCGTAAATTGTCATTTACACCTTTCAAATATACACCTTACATCCATACCAACCTATGCATATGTCTGTCTTCACCCTCTTCCATGTATCGCTGGACTTTGAGCCCCTGGGATCAGTTGATAGGTGCAGGTTCCTCTCACAGTTCAGCCCAGCCATGCATGCAAGTTCTGCTCAGCTCCTTCCCACCCTCCATCAAAAGCCATCTAAATCTATTGATCACCCTCCTTGGCTTAAGGCTGTTATCATAAGTATTGGGAAGCGGGAGGCATTTAAATGAGAGAAGAGTTATGACTCATGCCAGCAGCTGTTGGCACGGGGAGGTGGAGGGGAGAAGGGTGAAGAAAAACGTTTTATTTTTCTAGAGCCTTGTTCTTAACGCTGTGAAATTGTGTTTGCCTTCGCTCAGCCCCACTCCTCCGCATCCCCACACCCGGCTGGCTCCGACCAGGACTGTCAGCACCTGAGGTGTCTTAATGGGCTTTATCTTCACAATGCTGGCATTGGAAAAAGAAGCACTAAACACAGGCAACAGGAGCACAGGGAAAGTAAGCACTTTGCACAAGCTATGTAGTATTTCCCCAGTCTTACCAAGCTCCTGTCCAAGTACCTGTGCTATCCCTTCCTCCAGGAATGTAGCAAGAGCCAGGGCTTTTGTAAAACAGGCACCTGGGTTAGATACCCTGTCTTTGCACACCAAAGCTACCATTGAAAACAGGGGTGTGAAACAGCTTTGAGACAAGAAAATTTAGCAGCCGGCAGCCTGAACACACAAGACGATGAAAAGTCATTATGAAATTGAATAAGCGGGGATATCTCACCTCTCTTCACATATTGCTTTCAATAGTAAAAGGATTTAATTGGAATATAGGTTTAAAGAAGGGGTCTGTAAATTTCCCTGAATGTATGAGCATCCTGCTCTTTGGTAGATCATCTCCATTTACTATTTTCTTTACTTCCGAACTCGTAGATATTATTCTGCGACCCAGGAAAACCAACAAGCTGGAGGACCCTGCTTATTCCCCCTCCGTCTCCACAGTGGGGGCTAGGGACAGACCCTGATGGGGCCACATCAGACACCTGGTTTCTCAGCTCCATGGGGGAACACCACCCCGGCTGCATCTCAGCTGCCACAAAAGGTGGAGAGCCACCATTTATGCCAGCAGAGACATTTTTCCCCTCCCCTCAGCATACGATGCTCTCAGCAGAAAGCAGCGTCACCTCTCTGTCCAAGGGCTGCCTGAGCCAGACAACACCGGTCACACTCTCCACTGCAAAGAATCGGCTGGCCTCCTCCCCAACCACGCCAAAGACCAGCGGGTCGTTGTCCAGGTCCCGGGCCAGCAGCTGAGTCACTGAGGAACCTAGGAGAGATGGAAAGGAAAGAAATCATGAGCGAAACGGGACAGAAAGGGAAGAAACCCTGAAAATACTCAGTTGTTCTGCATTCCTTGATTAAGTCATCCTCAAACTATTTTCCTATGGTGTTACAATGTCTCAAACATTTATACAGTAGCAAGGGGAGTCAAGATGCGTGTGGGCCTGCTGCTCTCTCTGGCACAGATAAATTGTATGACAACTCCTCTCCTCCCTCACCCTTATCAAAAGGTAAAGTCACATTAGCTCAGCAGAAGCACGGCCATCTCGGGCACTAGGGACAGTGTAGGAAGCCATACCTCTTCTGGGTAAGCACCTACCCGCCTCTGTCACTCTCGCCCCTGCCAAGGGGAGCCACCAGCAGATACAACAACATTTCCATGTTAAAAGCAAACACCCCAAGACCAAGAGCATAGATGTGATGGCCACAGGGCCTGGAGCCAGACACCAGCCTGGGGTTTGTGTTAAACACCGCAGCTGCAGCAAGTGCTGGTATCTTTGACATAGGTGGAGCCCACACACCCAGCCAGCGCGACAGATGCCAGGAAAAATCCATCACTACATCCTGCCAAACCATGCTTGAAACCATCCTCCGCAGCATCCTGAATACCCCAGCCAACAGGGGCCTTGCTCAGCCATCCCTTGTGGGCGTGCAGTTGCAAACGTCTCTTCCTGACTGAACCCAAGAGGTAACCTAGACCCTCTGAAGTTGCTGTATGGGACACACGTGTTCTCTTTGCAATCTCCACGCTACTCCCAGAGCAAGAGGACTTCTACTGCTCTGAAAGCAAGTGACAGCCACCACCCTTGGAGTATCATTTCAGCCCCATAAGAACCTCCTCAGATCATTTTGAACCTGTCCATGACACCTCTGAGTGCATTCAAAGTCTGATGTGATGGGTAAACCATGGCTGGCTGCCTGTCTCCCACCCACCCAGCTGCTCTCAGTCCCCTCCTCTGCAGGATGGGGGAGAAAATAGGAAGGAAAACACTGGTGGGTGGAGATAAGGATGGGAAACGTCCTCTGCCACCTGGCACCAAGGATGGGGGTGGGACAACCTCTGCATGAGCTGTCCATAGCAGTATAAGAGCACACCACAACCCCAAATCATCTGGACAAGGAGAATGGATGCCAAAATTTCATCCATCTGGGAAGAGGAGGGAAGCTCCATCAGACCAGAGGCCAATTGTGGCAGTGCAGCTCGGCAAGCAGAGCGACCCAGGCAATTACCTGCTGGTTGGCCTGACATCAATCATAGCAGAAATAATGGAAAAAGCTGATATTAGATTCCATTAATAAAGAATTACACGATCAGAACATAATTAATGCCAGTCAGCAGGATTTTACGGAAAATAGGCCTTGTCAAACAAACCTGATTTTATTCTTTGATGAGATTACAATTTTGGCAGATAAAGGTAACTGCAAAGAAATAATAGACTTTTGTAAGTCCTTTGACTTAGCACTGCATGACTTTCTGACTAAAAATTTAGCACTGTAAAACCTTGACAAAGTGCATTCAGGTGAGGACCCAGCTGCCTGACAGGTCCCAAGGCCACCAACCATGGTCAGAGGGACATCCTACTGTGACATGAAATTTCTGTCAGTACAAACTTGGGTGACAGCACAGCAAATAACGGGAAGGACTAAGCAGCTAGGTGAAGTGCTTAGTAATTTGTGCTTGTTTGGTAAAAATCTGTTTTCACAACCCTGCTCCAAAGATCCTTGAAAAAGGCTGGTGGACCACAGCTACAGAGGATGACATCCCAAAACCAGCCATTCTGGCAGGGCTGGGGGTCCAAGCATGCAAGGAGCTCTTTCCTTGCCCTGGCTGGCAGAGTTGCAGTGCAATTTGGGCACTTGAAGTAGCGACTTTGTGAGTATATAGCCTGTTCTACTAAGAGTTCTATTCTGCAAGCTGCTTGGCTGGCCACATCATCTTTAGGACTAGATGCCACAAACATTCAAGAGCTAGCAAAAGTACTTTACTCTTAACAAGGGCTTTAAAAGCTTGAACTGTTTCATTTATGACAGAGTGAGATGACTTAGGCCATCTCTAGCACAGCCATGAAGAGGACAATATGTAAGACATAAGATGAGCAAGAAAGCGCAGCAAGACTCAGCACCCAAACCTAGACGAATTTCTATTAGAAGGACTATCAGTTGTTTTAAAAAGAGCAACTACAATTAACTACCGGGAAAAAAAAATTCCTTCCACCAACACAGGTGCAAGTGAGTGATGGGTCACGATCAAAGACCTGAAAACAAGAGTCCTTATCCAAGCCACTGTGATCAGCCAGTTCACCCGCAACATTCCCATCTCTTCACTGAAGCCAACACTGGAGATACAAAGTGATCTTACCCTGGCTCAAACCTTGGAGCTTTGATATGAAACAAGCTATTAACTTGGTTTTATTTTGGAGGACATCCGAAGCCATCCTTAGCAAAGGTTTCTTTGCCCCAGGACACAAGCAAGACTGACTGTCCCCATGGCAGAGAGCGCCAGTAACTAGGACAAGATAGGGTCATACCTCTCTATTCTGCCAAATTTGATGGGAGAAACAGAGTTTCCCCCTTTACATCTCATTCAAAAACCCTAGATCAATAGGGTATTTGCAATTCCCTGGGGAACTGCCAATACTTCAAACTCCAAAAGGTCTCAGTTGCATCTCAGTGTAAGGGAAATCATCTTAAAAATCCTGCTGAGTATGAAAACCATGTCCTACCCTGTTCTAATCATAGTCACATTCATGGTTTGTGTGCTGCAAACTCACTTGCACAAAAAAAACAAAACGATCAGCCAGCAAACGAACATTTAAACTCTTCTCTGTCTCTTCACGTCACAGCTACGTACCACTGTCAGCGAATTTAGTTCCTAAATTCAGGATAATCTGGAGAACAAGACAAGGCATTTCTGGGCAGAGTGCATCATCCCACCCGCATTCTCACTCCTGCCTGCAAGACATGCAGAGTTAGATCCCTGTGAAACAGCATGCTGACCTGGACTGCTCTCTGGTCCAGGCATATCAAAATCAAGGACAGATTTAGTGGTTAAGAGGAAAGGGAAATATGTAAGGAACATTCAGCACCTATACCCTCCTCCACTTTTCTTTCCTTTTATTTGTTAGAAACAAGAAACTTCATTGGGACATAGATAACGTAGCTCAGAACATTAAAGCGCAAGCTGCTCTGTATCACAGGAAAACACTATCTTAAACAAACCCTCAGAAATGAGGGACCAAAAATTAAGAGCTCTTTTACCCATTCCCCTACCTGTCCATCAGACAGTAATCACCATCCTAACTTAAGAGGACCTCCAAACTCATTACAGACAAAAAACCCCACACCGTGTATAAAATACAGATCAAAATAACAACTTAAATAGAAGATAATAAGAAACAGATCCCTGAAATAAGAAATGAGATTTCACAATCGCTTTGTCATTTGTTATTCTGATTTTTGCAAGCTTTAACTTTGAATAAGGTAAAGTTTAGGCACGTGGTAGAAACCAGGTGTGTAGGATGCAGTGAGAGAGGACCACAGCAGAGCACACTGGGCTCCTTCACCACTTCCACCACCACGATAAAAGTTTCTGCGAGCTACCTTCCACCAATTCCTTTAGCACTGATTTATTTATTTAGGGCTACAAGGATGGTGAGGGGACTGGAGCATCTCCACTACGAGGAGAGGTTGAGGGAACTGGGCTTGTTCAGCCTGAAGAAGAGAAGGCTGCGAGGGGACCTTATAAATGCCTACAAATATCTGAAGGGTGGGTGTCAGGAGGATGGGGCCAAGCTCTTTTCAGTGGTGCCCAGTGACAGGACAAGGGGCAATGGGCACAAACTGAGGCACAGGAAGTTCCGTCTGAACATGAGGAGGAACTTCTTCCCTCTGAGGGTGACGGAGCACTGGAACAGGCTGCCCAGGGAGGTTGTGGAGTCTCCTTCTCTGGAGATATTCAAGACCCGCCTGGACAAGATCCTGTGCAGCCTGCTGTAGGTGACCCTGCTTCGGCAGGGGGGTTGGACTGGATGACCCACAGAGGTCCCTTCCAACCCTACTATTCTGTGATTCTGTGATTTCATCCTACTTTTCCCCCCGTATCATATTTCCCCTCTCAATTTACTGCACTAAGGAAGCAGGAACAGACTGGCTGCGTAGCACAAGGCAAACACACTCAGCTGGAGCACCTGGGCTATGGTCACCATTCAACAGACCACAAGAAATCCCATTTTCCAGGGTGATCACAGAGAAGGTGCTGTTGTCCCACCCATAGGTGCAGCCAGACCAAGGCAAACACCCAACAGCGACACTCAGCTCTGCAGCCAGACTCCGCACTCTCTTTCATGGAAGGAACACAGAAGGAGTGCAAAAGTAGTGCTAGCATCTTCACATAAGAGTGCCTGTATGATTGGGAAATCACCAAAAAGAGAAGGGTCCTGTTCGGACAGGGCATGCAGAGTCCAGGGAGCTCCACATCTGTCAGAAACCCATCTCAGGACACCTGCAAAGAAAAATAACATGGCCCAGCTCTCCCCAGGCCGTACTGAGGATGCTCTTTGAGCTGCCACAAGCCCAAGCGCCGACCTGGCTTTTGGGAGGGCTGAGGAAACAGGGACAAATTATCCTTTCGCAGTGCAAAGTTACAGGCTCCATTTGTTTCTCCTCAAAAATCAGACAGGGCAGTTAAGTGTCTTGATTCCACCAGATAATCACAATTTATCTTGTCTCCTTTTGCCTCCTTTCTCTTAATCATGGTTACTTCTTCCTCTTTCTCACAGATACACAGATTTTATTCTTTCTCCAAGTCTTGAACTTTGATTAACCTCAGCAGCTTTTTTTTTTTTTTTTTGTGGTGGTGGTGTTGCCTCTTGTTTTGTTCCCGCTAGAATTTTATTAATTTTTTTAAATTTTTTTTTGAAGTTTGGCTGCCTTATGGGGTGTACTTTTCCCCATTCAGTGTCTTGCTTTCAGCTGTAAACCTGTATA